CTCCCGGGGGGCTGCGGAGGCTCTAGCAGTCCAACCGCCCCCCACCACCATCCGCAAACCGTCCCGGAGCGTTGGGCAGGATTCCTTCCCCTTTCCTCTCCGTGGGAGCTCGCGAGCACTGCTGGAGCTCAGAGCATGGGAGACACGTGCCCCGACACCTCTGCTGCTGTGGGGGCTCTGCCCGGGTGGTGAGCGAGCAGCAGGGGCTGGGGGCAGCCCACGGAGCAGGCACTGCGTGGGCACAAGTGATGTGCCGGGGAGATGCCAGTTTCCCCCTCGCAGCCGCCGGTGCGACCGCTGAGCCAGCAGCTGCCTGCCAGGAGCCTGGCATGTGCTTTCATGTCTTTTATCAGATCCATCAGTTTTCAAAGGGTAGTTAGACCTCAGTCGTGGTGGAGCATCAACCTGCTTTGAGATAGGATTTTTTCCTGCAGGATGGGCGCACAGCAGTAACTCAGGGCAGGATATCATCCTTGTGTTATCAGGAAAACAGCACAGACAATCTGCCTTTGAACATACTCCCGCCTGCGTCCTCGTTTGAGTTAGAGATTTGCTCTGTGCAGTTGTTGGGAGGAGAAGGAAGGTGGCTTCAAGCCCAAATCACAGCCTGGTTTGGGTGAGGCAGCTTGGGACCGCACTGGCTCTCGGGCTGCGTTGCGGCATGAGCTCTGAACAGCCCCGGTCCGGCAGAACCCGGGTACCTGCTGGTGGGGTTACGAGAGCGTAGCTCAGCCAGGCACATCTCCTGCTCTGTGAGCACTGGGGGTCAGGCACATCTCCTGCTCTGTGAGCACTGGGGGTCAGGCACATCTCCTGCTCTCTCAGCGCTGGGGGCCAGGCACATCTCCTGGTCGCTGAGTGCTGGGGGTCAGGCACATCTCCTGGTCTCTGAGTGCTGGGGGTCAGGCACATCTCCTGGTCTCTGAGTGCTGGGGGTCAGGCACATCTCCTGCTCTGCACGTGCCGCGTGTTCTGGCTCCAGGAGCAGCTGCCCCACACCCAGTCATGGCACTTTACAGCAGCCCGCCGGACGGGAGTGAGGGATGGGGCTTGGCTCCACGTGCAATGCTCAGCCTGTGGCAGTTTTACGTGTAGGTGTGTAACAGGATTAATTAGGGACAGCTCCAGCCCCGTTTGCAGTATCGGGTTCTGATCTCCCGTTTGACTAGAACACAGTTCAGGTGCTGACGGCAGAAACAAGGTGAGACATGGCACGTGCTGACATATGGCGTTTCGGTTGACTGAGACGGAGAACTGCACCAAACTGTTGTTGCAGCAGTTCTGCCCTTGTCTTCCCTCTCCCAGGAGACAGCTCTGGAGTGCCATTTTGGGACCGACAGGACATTTGAAGCCCGGTGGGTGAACTCCTCTGCCGTGGAGTGCGTACATGTGCTGGTGAGTCGGGGCGAGGCCGCCGGTGGGACGGGGCAGCGCCCAGGGCA